GCCCGGGGGCCGCTCGCTCCCCCTGCTCCGCTGCCGCCGCCCGGACCCGGGCCCTGCGCGGGGCCCGCAGTCCTCTGAAGCCGGCGCGCCTTCTTCAGGTGCCGCTTCTCCTTCCTCAGCTCCCTGCGGCTTTTCCTCCCGCCCGGCCGCACGCGCCCCCCCGTCCGGGGCCCCGCGGGGCCGCCGGGGATCTCGCCCTCGGAGCTCGCCTGCACGAACTCCTTCACCACTAGCTTTAGCCGCTGCAGGGCCCCATCTGTGCCGCCCCCCGGCCCGCGGCGTACCCCGCGTCCCTGCTGCCTATCGGGCCCCAGCCTCCGGCGACTGCGCCGGCGCGTCCCTCCAGCACTCGCGGATGCAGCCATTTTCCTGGATGCTCCTACTCCGACTTCCGGTCGGGGCGGGACTTCCGGGCAGAGCGGGCGCTGCGCGGGACGGGATGGCGCCCCCTGCTGGCGGGAGGGCGGCAGCGCAGGGAACCGCCCAGGAGCAAACAGCGCCTGCTCTCCAAACACTTTGTAACGGCGTAACACAAATACGTGCTCATTTAATGAATGAAACCTTACGGCTTACGGTAGAGAGGCCTCTTGGCGACCTGCCACAGAAGTGAGCGTAGTTGTCTGTAGGGCGTGACTCTTCGGACGTGTTTGCATCTCGTACATCCATAGGGAAAATATTAATGTTGTTTTCTGTGCGTATTTTACGGGGAAACTTCATCCCAGCTTATTATTCTGCAACTTGCTTATTTCACCCAACCTCAGGCCTTGGATCTCTCCATGTACGGTGTAATGGCTCACCTCATTATTCATTAGGGTTGCCTGGCTTCATGGGATGATGTTCCATGATTCCTCTCTCAGTACATCTGTCCCGGGATGAAAGTATTCTTGTCTACTAGAGGCTGGGAATGTGACCTTATTGGAAATAGGGTCTTTGCAGCTGTAATCAAGTTAAGAGGAGGTTACACGTGAAACGAATATAACACTGTATGTTAGTTATCCTTCAATTAAAAAAAAAAAAGAGGTTTTCCTGGATTTCCCAGCGGGAAGTTTGGATGCACGGGGAGAAAGTCACAAAGAAGTGGCTACAAGCCAAGGAATGCCAAGATTTGCGGGAACCAGAGGAGCTGGGAGAGTTCTGGAACAGATTTTCTGCTGGAGCCCCGGGAAGGAAGGAGCCCTGCCTACACCTCGATTTTCCACGTCCAGCTTCAGGACCGAGACTATGAATTTCTGTTGTGTTAAGCCTGCCTGGTGTGTGGTGCTTTGTTACCAGGTAATTTATACTAGGAAACTAGTATAGCAGATGGGAAGGAGGGAAGTAGAAGCAAACAGTACTCGCGGCCTACTAGTGAAGAGAAAAAGCTCTGGGAAGGCCAAGAGTGACAACCAAATAAAATTTCAGAACTCAGCGTGCTCAGCAGCCCAGGCTCTGGGGCTGGGGTTCAAATCTTGACCCCACTGCCTCCTGGCTGTGTGACATTGCTCAACCTTGCTGAGTCTCAGCTTCTCTATCTGCAAAATGGGCGGATGATAATGCCTATCCCACCGGGCTGCTGTAAAAATGAACGAGGTTTTATTTATTTATTTTTTAAAGATTTTATTTATTTATTTGAGACAGAATGAGAGAGAGAGAGAGCTCATGAGAGGGGGGAG